TATATATATATATATATATATATATATATATAAAAGATACAAATGTCATAATTAACCTTGCACATATTTATAAAAGGTAGATCTGTTTATCATATGATAAAAAGCTCTACACATTTTATGAAAGACTATAAAAATTATGTGATGTCTATAATAGCTATGACAGGGTTACACATATTTTTGTATGTTTTATCAGATCCTAAGCAGATAAACATAAGTTTCCTTAGAACTATCTATTTGTTGAAAACCTTTAGTATGTAATACATATGAAATTTATTCTTGCAGATTGACAGTGACCAGTTCAATAAAATTCTAGAACTAATTAACAGCGGAAAAACAGAAGGGGCAAAATTGCAATGTGGGGGTGATCGATATGGAGACCAAGGTTATTTTGTTTTGCCGACCGTGTTCTCTGATGTACAGGACAACATGAGGATTGCTAATGAAGAGGTAAAATGAAACTTTTTTTATTTTCTAGTTTTTATAATTTAATAATAACGTTTTCGGTAAATATTTTCTGTCAAACTGTGAATTAAATCTACTTTGAGACACTGGCAAGTGAACATCAGTGAATGAAATTGGATCATTTTTTTTTTTTTTAATATAATGCAGTTTTAATCACTTTAATAAGAGTTATCGTAAAAGGTAAAGCTGAAGTTACAAAGCATTTTATACACTAAAGTTGTGTTTGGTAAAAATATCTACCATTTTTGTTAGTTTTCTCAATAAAGTTTCTTTATACATCTAACAAATTTTAAGCCTGTTTTGAATCTTTATGTTTAAACTATGCTACCTCTCATCTGACTTAATGTTCACTTTTATAGAAAATGAAAGAGTTAACTCTGTAATTTTCTAATAATTGCTCACTGTTGGGGCCATTTAATAGATATTCATTGGTCATTAGACATCAGTAAACACTAATTTTCTAATAATTGCTCACTGTTGGGGGGCATTTAATAGATTTTTATTGGTCATTAGGTATCAGTAAACACTAATTTTCTAATAATTGCTCACTGTTGGGGGGCATTTAATAGATTTTCATTGGTCATTAGACATCAGTAAACACTAATTTTCTAATAATTGCTCACTGTTGGGGGGCATTTAATAGATTTTCATTGGTCATTAGACATCAGTAAACACTAATTTTCTAATAATTGCTCACTGTTGGGGGCCATTTAATAGATTTTTATTGGTCATTAGGTATCAGTAAACACTAATTTTCTAATAATTGCTCACTGTTGGGGGCCATTTAATAGATTTTCATTGGTCATTAGACATCAATAAACACTAATTTTCTAATAATTGCTCACTGTTGGGGCCATTTAATAGATTTTCATTGGTCATTAGACATCAATAAACACTAATTTTCTAATAATTGCTCACTGTTGGGGCCATTTAATAGATTTTCATTGGTCATTAGACA